TGTTTCTGTGAGTGTGTGTCTGTGAGTGTGTATGTGTTTGTGTCAGTGTGTGTGTCTGTGAGTGTATGTGTGTGTCTGTGAGTATGTATGTGTGTGTGTGTCTGTCAGTGTGTGTGTGTGTACGTGTGTATATATATATATATATATATATATATACACACATACACACGTACACACATACACACACACACACGCAGAGCCGGCGCTATCTGAGTGCCGGCTCTGCTCTAAGCCTTCATGGGCCGGCGGGGAGACCAAAGATCTACCTCACCGGCCCACAGCAGCATGGAGGGAGGCAGTAGAGGACCCAGGGAGCTCTAGACAGAAGCTCCGCCAGGTTCCTCTCGCGATATCTGAGCGTTGCTGCGGCAACGCTCAGATCTCGCGAGAGTTAACTCTAGCTCCGCAGGCTAGAGTTCACTCTCCACTGGACCACCAGGGATGGCACATGGCAGCAAGGATTTACTAATCTGCCAAATCCCTCCAAACATACAGCACACACACATACAGCACCTACACACATACAGCCCACACACACACAGTACACTAACCGCACCCTCACAAACACACACAGCACCTTTAAAAAAAACACAACACCCTCACACACAGCACACTAACAGCACCCTCACAAACAGCACCCTCACAGGACAAACATACACACACAAACACCCTCACACACAAACAGCACAGTCACAAACACGCACCCTCACACACACATCACACTAACAGCACACAGCACACAGCACACTAACAGCACACACAGCAGTGTGTGTGTGTGTGTGTTTATATATATATATATATATATATATATATATACATATATATATATATACATACACACACACACACACACACGCGCGCGCGTGGCGTGTGTTTGTGCTTTAGGGTGCACACCCTAATGCAATAGGCTGCGCACGCCTATGAAATAGCTATGTAAGTGTTTTGTATGCCTATAGCTTATATGCCTGTTTAATATAACATATTTGTGTAGATTAGGAGTTCATGCTGTGCAATTTACCACTAGCAACTTTTTTGAAGATTTTTGTGACATTTTTGCAGTTTAACATCTTATTTGTTAGACTTTGTGCTCATTCCATGATTACAGTAAGTTTGTTTTACCATTATCCTTGTTTGTAGATATAAAATGTTATTCCACCTTGCACTGTATTTTTCATTTATTTAGTTTCATTCTTCGTATGTGTTGAATATTTTACTTTGGAGCTTATCTTCTTGATAAAGGTCACATAAATTCTTCCCAGTGCCATTCCTCTAAACATGACCATGTTGGCAGCCATGTTTAAAGGACAATACCGTGGTCTTTACAGCTTGAGTCCCGAAATGACAGTAAGTCTATCAGTACCAGGTAGCAACAATAATCAACTGGTGAGACAGTAATTACCCCATCTGCAATAGACAATGGTCCATGACACCATAAAATAGACATTCATTATTTTTTGAATGAACACATTTCTTTATTTTGTAAACCATACTATTGCCACAATAATGGAAAAGTCATTTGTTTAGTGGTGCTTGAGCATTTCCTTTTCTATTTTTTTATTATGGACTAGAGATCCTGGGTCATTGTACAACATTCTTGATAATATAAACTTAAATGATTGCTCACCACACTAGGAAACATATTGTGTAGGCTGTAAGACCTTCTGTCTCTTGTAGTGGCTGATGAGTTGGTCAACAAGGCCTATTATTGGCATTGAGGGGTTGTCATTGACAGGTGCCAGACATCTCTCTCCTACATCCCCTGCTCACTTCCTCTCCCTGCCCTTTTACTGAAGTTGTGGGTACAATTCTCCTGTTCTGTATCAGGGCAATTGGAACAACCAAATTTAGAAAATTCAGCTTGAATTCAGCCTAACTGCATCTAAATACTTTGAAATAACTGAATCTGAATTATGTAAATAACAGAGTTGGTAAATAATAGTCACATTGTGAAAACAGAACATGTGTAATAAGACATTTGGTAAATAGATCTCGTAATCTTCCCATAAGGAATAGACAGTTTGGCAAGGCAGAGCTATAGAGTTGGTACCTCATGTGCATTAGTCATATGAGTATACCATGAGTCACTGTTGATTATAAGAAAAGCATTGAGGAATATCATTGAATTGTCACTCTAAATTGATGTTTATGGTGCAGAGGGAACTTGGAACTGCAGCAATTTGTAAAAATTGTGCACTCAGAACTTTGAATGGCCTCTCTTACTTTCCAGAAGAGAGAGAGATGTGCTGTGGACTATGCATTTGTTGGCCACTACTTTGCTGATGATATTGGTCACCAGTGAACCAGACTATGAGTACATTAAAAGTAGTCACAGTGCAACTGATATCAGTTTAGAGAGAACTAACACTGATCCTGTGATGAAAGAAACTGCTCTTAGGGGAGAAACTAATTATCTCATAATCCTATGCTTGGATAAGTATAGTCACCATATAATAAAAAGAGATACTTCTGATTTGTAGTCTCTTCCTGGTTAGAAAAGGATATGCCTGGTCCTGAGAATTCTGAATGGTTTGAAGGGCATACTCATATATATAGGTCCTTTCCAATTAAATTAAAGGAACTTCACTTTCATTGTGGACAATTACCCTTTTCTTCATTGATGGCCCCTCCTGTATCATCATTGTGACAAGTGTCTCCATAATAGAGCACACACATCCTTGGACTATTAGAGGTGCATTGTCTTCATCTCCAAGTGAAACCAAGCTGGTTTATGTGAATAAAAATAAAGATGTTAAACCAATAATTGTGATTTTATGTAGGCACCAATTTGGCTATACTTTCAATTACAATAACCGCATCACTACCTCATTTAACTCTGGTACTCTATTGTCTTCCATCAATAGCATTTTCCTGATCACTCTAATGTTATCTTAACATGATTCTCATTTCTGGCCTCCTTTATCGATCTAACAACCTCAGCACACAATTCTTGCTCTGAACTGTGTTCATTTCCTCTCAAGGTTATTCACTAAAGTGAGAACTGTCTTAAATTAAAAGTAAATTTCAAATATAAGTCCAATGGGGAAAAACAAACAAGTCAGCTACCAATTTTGCGATTTTTGTCTAAATTTTG